GTTAACGAAAAATCACCGAGTGTATAAAGCAGCACATGCAAAATTACGTTGGAAAATAAACCCTTTGAAAAGTTTTCGGATTCACTTGCTTCAGTATTATGTGCAATGTAATATATGACTGTTACCGAAGAGCCTAGATTTCGAGTATGTATTCTAACACGTTTTAATGAAAAACTGCTATTTGTTTTTTCGTTTATGAATCGCTTGACTTATGGTGGACCAAGGCAACCACTTTTTGCTTGATATGCCGTATTGGGAGATCACGGGAGTAATATATTTCTTAAGCTCACGTGTGGACATGCTGGTCAGTGACTAATAAATCAAAATGGAATTGTCAGGTACAATTACAAACGTACCATTTTTTACACTAAGAGGACTTGCCTTCTGCCACATTTTTTATAATTATTTTGATATTTCAATTACAAAAAAAGTTAAGATCTTCCTCGAAATGCTAATTAAGACTTTATTATTTTCACTGGCTTCAGTCGATTGAAAATAACTAATGATTTTATTCTACGTGCTTACCAAAGCCCCCAAAATAAGATATACCTTAAAAGCATTTACCTAAATAACGAGCTTTTAAACATTTTTTTCCTTTTGCAGCTCTCTGTGTGTGTCATGGATTCAGAACCACCCAAACATGTCAAAAATGAAGAGAAAAAATTAAAAAATGGACGATAAAAAACGAAGATCCACAACAAAAGTTACGAATGAATATGCCTAAGACTGATGAAAAAATTTTATGTAACAAGTTATCTCTTTAAAGACAGTTTGAGTTATGTATTTTGGCATCGAATGTCTGCGTACTTTATTTTATTTTTTTTGAAGATAAAGTCAAGATCAGAATGGGAAATTTTGGCCAGTTTATTGATTTCCCTAAAACATATGGACACATCTTCTGTTGTAGATGAAAGAGCTAACCTTTCTATTTAAATTAGAACAGTTTTCAGTATATTTGGTTACTTCTGGGCTCATTTCTAAAATAACAAATGCAGAGCAGAGTGGCAATAAAATCAACGGCGATTTTCGAGAAAACTCTATCGCAATGTTCTGCGACAACTCACTTAAATTTGTGTTATGTTAACTGTCGTCAACTTTATATTGACTGTAGTATCGACTTAGTAACTATATACTAATAAACTCATCATTTGCCAATAGAAGCGAACATCCGTGTCCCAGGAGGCAATTGAGAAGACGAAGACTCGATCGCTGGGACAAGGCGAATAAACATATTGTCCCAGCGATCAAGTCTTCTTCTCAAACTCATCATTCGCATTCCTTGCATTCAACCCTTCAAATATACAATATACATTTATTATTAGGGTATAGCAAGTAACAGCCTCAAAAGTTAATTACTCGATTTTATAGCACAAAACCTGGAAGATTTGCAAATTAGAATTTTCTAAGCTTATTCTGCTCTTTTTTTCCAAAAAAATACTGCTCTATCTCATAATAACACTAACCTTAATTTCAAGGACGCAACACACAATTTCCCATTCTGCGAACAGATATATCTAAAACTTTGCTGCTCTTCATGAATATTCTTTTATAGCACAACATACACAAACAAGAAGTTCTTTCGTGCAACTTTTGATAGCGTAGGAAATCCTTCGTTTATCAACAAACGCTGGATTTCGCCCATTTTTGCCTCTATTTTTTCCAGTATATTGATCAGAACGGAATTTAATTCTAGTAAACATCCTTTCGCACCTCAAGTCAACCCAATTAACTAAATAAACGGCCTGAAATGTGTGTTAAATTCCCCAATCGCCAATCCTTCATCAGATACGTAATCTACGGTATGTGTTGCGTCCCTTGACTTCTTTGACTGTATCCTGCGGCTACGCGTACGTCAAAACCAGTGATAACATCTATCAAGGTGGTACGGTACTGTTAAAAAAATAGTGAATGATAATAAAAGTACAAACTTCACCAATGGATACAACAAGTCAGGAGCTAAGGCAGCCGGCCAAATCACCGGACTCTGTACGCGGGAACAACGTAGGTTCAACAATAACGCCACGCAGGGCGAAACTCGTCTTCGGAAAACGTGTGTGTGTAAGTGGGAGAGGGGGCGTGGCTCTGCGTTTATATGATTTCAGGAGGCCATTCCTATGGCTTCGAGATTGGTATGAAAACACCAGCGCGAAGAGAGGGGTGGACGTGAACAGAAGCAATACTGCGCCGGAAAGGGAGGGGAGGAATTGCAAGCATTTGAGGTCAGCGCTGGTGACAGCTGTAATCGTACCAGAGGGGAGGGGGAGGCAATATCGAGTAGCTCTTGAAACAGTTGTTTCTTGCTGCAGTAGTTGGCCGAAAGCATTGTGGCCAAAGATGATTCAAAGGCAAGAGAGCCGAAAGGGGGTGGGGACAACATTCAAGCACCACGTTAGTGTTACTTGGCCAGGGGACAAGTTTTAACACCAATGTGCATAGGTCTGCAAACAAAAGAGGTCAGCATGAACAGAATTCTTGGAGAAATGGGGCTCGGACACGCAGTTCAGAGGACGAGAGAACAGCCTTTCGTAAGAGGAAAACAATTAGAGTCGGTCTAGCACGAAGGCACTGGAAGAGGTGGTCCAGGATAAATTGGAATGCGTACAGGAATCTGACATTATTTGCTCCAAGAATTATTCAGCGTGGGCTGCTCCGATTGTGACGGACGAGAAACCTACCGAAAAATCAAGAATGTGTGCAGCCTACTCCACGGCACTAAATGACGTATAGAAGACCGTCATTACTCGCTGCTCACGGTGGATGGAAAACAGCCATTAATACTTGCTG